GGCACTTCACCAAAGAAGACATTCAGGCAGCTAATAGACACATGAGGAAATGTTCATGATCATTAGCCATTAGAGAAATGCAAATCAAAACTACAATGAGATACCATCTCACCCAAACAAGGTTAGCATTAATACAAAACACACCAAATAATAAATGTTGGAGAGGTTGTGGAGAGACTGGAACACTTATACACTGTTGGTGGGAATGTAAAATAGTACAGCCACTTTGCAAATCGATTTGGTGCTTCCTTAAAAAGCTAGAAATAGAAGTACCATACGATCCAGCAATCCCACTCCTTGGAATATAGCCTAGAGAAATAAGAGCCGTCACACAAATAGATATATACACACCCATTTTCATTTTAGCACTGTTCACAATAGCAAAAAGATAGAAACAACCTAGGTGCCTATCAGCATGAATGGATAAACAAACTATGGTATATTCACACAGTGGAATATTATACAACAATAAAGAATGATGCATCTGCAAAATATCTCACAACATGGATGAATCTGAAGTGTGCTTCACAGTATAGTGTGAGCAATTAGGGCCACCTCACAATGTATGTATATATTTTTGTATGAGAGACTAACTTGAATTGTAAACTTTCACTTAAAGTACAACAATAAAAAAACAAGAAATAAACTCACTTAATAAATGCGACTCCGAGAAAAGCTCTACCAAAAAAAAAAGGTTGTCTATAAAAGTTTTGTGCAGTGTTTCAGCAGAAATTTATTATTTTTTATAAAAATATCCCTGTAATTATAAGAACAAAAACATTTTTCCTAAGCCCAATTTACCTGTATCAATATACCTACAAGGCTAAAACTGTATCCTAATTTACTTTTTGAACCTTCTGATATATTCTTGGAAGCCCTGGTGGCATAGTGGTTAAGTGCTACGGCTGCTAACCAGAAGGTCGGTAGTTTGCATCCACCAGGCACTCCTTGGAAACTCTGTTGGGCAGTTCTGCTCTGTCCTGTAGGATCATTATGAGTCGGAATTGACTGGATGGCAACGGTTTGTTTTTTTAATGTGCTCTGGTCAGAGCAGTCATTATTACCCAATTGCAAGGATGCTTTGAATCGTGGTTTTGTTTGCACACGCTACAAGCACACGTTGTTTTTGTTGCTGCTGGTGTTTTTTTTTTTCTTAATTTATTATTCTTGTTAAAAACATATGCAGCAAAACATACACCAATTCAATAATTTTTACATGTACAAGTCAGTGATGTTGATTACATTCTTCAAGTTGTGCAGCCATTCTTGCCCTCTTTTTCTGGGTTATTCTCCCTCATTAACATAAACTCACTGGGCCCTAAGCTTTCTGTCTAACCTTTCATGTTGCTATCAGTTTGATCCCATATAGGTAGTTCTTTTTTTTTTTTTCTAAGTCTTATTTATTTGGTTTTTGTTGTTGAGAATATATACAGCAAAACATATACCAATTCAACAGTTCCTACAAGTACAATTTAGTGACACTGATTACTTTCTTAGAGTTGTGCAAGCATTCTCACCTTCCTTTTCAAAGTTGTTCCTCCTTCATTAACATAAACTCATTGCTCCCTAAGGTTCCTATCTGATCTTTTGAGTTACTGTTGTCACTTTGATCTCATATAGATAGTTCTTAAGAGAGCATAATGCTCAAGGTGACATTTTTTACCAGTTAAGCTAAACTATTGTTTGGTTTTAAAAATACTTAAGGGCAGTAGATTCAAGAGATCATCCAGTCCCCTTGGCTCCAGAAAGTCTGGAGTCCACGATAATTTGAAATTCTGTTCTGTATTCCCCCTTTTGATCGGCATTCTTCTATAGAATCTTTGATCCAAATGTTCAGTAGTGGTTGCTGGACACTATCCAGTTCTTGTCTCGTGGCAAAGGAGGCAGTTGTGCATGGAGGCAATTAGCCACACATTCCATATCCTCCTCCTGTTCTTTACTCTCCTTCTTTCTCTGTTGTTCCACACAAATAGAGATAAATTGTCATGCATTGGATGGCCACTTGCAAGCTTTTAAGACCCCGGAGAGCAGAAGCACTAAACATGCTATTAGGCCACTTAACTGGGATATTAAGCTATTGTTTGGTTTTAACATGACCTCGGGATATTTTTGTTTTTATTTATTTATTTTATTGTTGTACTTTAAGTGAAAGTTTACAATTCAAGTTAGTCTCTCATACAAAAGTTTATACAGAGTGTTATGTGACCCTAGTTGCTGTCCCTATACTGTGACAACACACTCCTCCTTTCCGCTCGGGATATTTTTGGTTTAAGGTTTAAAGATTATCTCAGGGCAATCGTTTCAGGGGTTTGTCCACTCTCCATGGCTCCAGAAAGTCTGGAGTCTATGAGAATTTGGAATTATATTCTGTATTTTTCCCCCTTTGATCAGAATTCTTCTATGGAATCTTTGATCAAAATGTTCAATAATGGTAGCCGGGCACCATCTCTTCTGGTCTCATGGCAAAGCAGGCAGTTGTTCTTGGAGGCAATAAGCCACACATTCCATATCCTCCTCCCATTCTCTACTCTTCTTTTTCCTCTTGCTCCAGGTGAATACCAAAAAACCCATTGCCATCAAGTCAATTCCCACTCATAGCGACCCTATAGGACAGAGTAGAACTGCCCCAAAGAGTTTCCAAGGAGTGGCTGGTAGATTCAAACTGCTGACCTTTTGGTTAGCAGCAGGTTAGCGGCTGAACTCTTAACCACTGCACCACCAGGGCCCCAACATTCATTGTGCCTTGGATGCCACTTGCTAGCTTTTAAGACCCCAGGCACTGCACAATTAACTAGGAGACAGAAGCACTAAACGCGTTATTAGGCAAATTAACTGGGATATCCCATGAAACCATGACCCTAAACCTTCAGACAAAGGAACCAAATCCCATGAAGTGTTTGGTTGTACATAAGTAGCTTCAGCAGCTACTCTTTTTTTGTTTTTGTTGTAAATATATCTATCACACAATTCTGACACCAGCTGTCCCTCCCACAGCACTCTCTACCTCTCTGCTGAGTTCAGTAATTCATTGCAGTGGTCATACAGAACTCATAGACAATACTTACAATTAGAGGTTTATTGGGGAAGTAACATTACAATTCAGCATCAGGAATGACTCAGGATACAGTTCTTCCATCAGGACAGCTTCTCGGCTGTGCCCACAGGTTGGCTTCTCTTTGGTCCTCAACCTCTCAGCCCTTGCTTGACCCCTCGGACCTCTTGGGCTGGCCCGGCCTCTGCCCTGCTTGGGCAAGTGTTACAAAGCTCTTTAGCTCCACCGTTAAGAGACACCCACCCTGGCAGTAAGCCTCAGCCTGACGACACTCAGCTCTCTAATTCTGTGGCTTGGCAAGTCTTGCTCTGCCAACAAATGCCCAGAGGCACCGCACTCCACCAGCAAGCCTCCTGCCCAGGGGTGCTCAGCTTTCTCACTCCATGGGCTAGGAAGCTCACCACGGCATCTTCTGCCAGTCTCCTGGTTCTGTTGGTACCGCTTCTCTGCTGCACTTGCCACTGCTTCTCACCATCGTGTGCCATCTGTGGTGTTAACAGGTCTCTGTCTCCTGCGTCTGGGAGGTTCTCAGCACAGGGACCCCAGGTCCAAAGGGCACACTCTGCCCCTGGCTCTTCTTTCTTGGTGGTGGTGAGGGTCTTCCCTTACTCTGGGATTGGCTCTCTTTTTTAAGCCTAGTGGGATGGCAAAACTGACCAATCTCCTTGTTAAGGTTCCATACACCTTATTTGCATGGCCCACCCCCACAGGGGTTCTATACACCTTATGTGCATTCTTAGCAGGCTGTCCAACCCCCTTGGTGGGCCACAAGTGCCATATTTGCATAACCTCAACCAATCATTGTGTGGGAGTCACAAAGACTATGGTTAGAAGGGCCATATTAAGTAATTTCACTGCGCCACTTATCCTATCGCAACTGCATACCCTTTCTCTTTGAGAGCAAAGCTAAATGATACACTAATTATAGCCATCCTTGTCAGGCCCCTGACCTCCAAATTCCAGCCCCATCTATGTGAGGATAGGCTCAGGGCTTGGCTCTCTAGGGAAGTTCACATGGGTTTATATTTTGGGGAAACCCCTATTAGCATCTCTCTGAGCCCTAAGTAGGAAATTCCCTCAATGAGGCCTCTTGTGGCATACTTTTTTTTTTGTTACAGGAGCCTGTATTAGTTTTCTTTTGCTATGTAACACATTATCACAAATTTAGAGGCTTAAAACAACACCCATTTATTTTCTCACAGTTTCCATGGGTCAGGAGTCTGGGTACAGCTTACCTGGGTTCTCTGCTCAGGGTTTCACCAGGCTGAAATCAAGGCATTGGTTAGGACTGCAATCTCATCTGAGACAGAAGATCTCCTTCCACACTCACTGGTTGTTGGTAGAATTCAGTTCCTTGTGGTTGTAGGACTGAAGTCCCCATTTTCTAATTGGGGCCTGCTGGAGGATCTCTCTGAGCTTCTAGAGGCTACTCTCAGGTCCTAATACAGGGCCTTCTTAAAACCTGGCATTATCAAAGACAGCATGAGAATCTATCTCCCCATTCTGCTAAGATGGAGTCTTATAGAGTGCAGTGTAATCAGGGGAGGGATGATCCCATCACATTCACAAGACTTGCTTCCACTCAAGCAAGGGGTTACCGTATTTTTACGCAAATACTTTTGAGTGTTATACGTTTTTTGCCAAGCTTGCAACTCCCTCACGCATTATTTTACTAGGCACGTTATGAACATTATATGTGTGTAGGGGCGTTATTTACATAGGCTCATTATTTGCGGAAAAAAATATGGTATACAGGGGGTGGGGGATGTGGAGGGGATCTTGGGGGCCATCTTAGAATTCTGCTCACCACAAGGCCTCACGAGCGGCTAAAGAACCAACGCCTCAAATTGGAAGTAATACTCCCAGATACTAAATTGTTTTTTGTAGATTTTATATGCTCTTTGTAAATGTATGTTGAAATAGAAGTTATTTTCTTTAATTGATACAGAGCTGTGTTAAAAGTGGCCACCAGTGCTTACCGTGTGCTCCGATAATAGAAGAATATGCTGGAGAGGTCTTGAGATTTGTTGGCGGCATTGGCCTCTTCTTCAGTTTCACAGAGGTATGTGAAAATAATTCAGTATTTGCTTGCCTTTGTAACAGGATCTCCTGGTTATATAGCGACAGAGGGCATGGCGTTTCACCTTTTTGTGACATTCAACTTTTGGAATGCATCAATGGATGGATATTTTTATTGAGAACTAGCATTATAACAGGACTGGGAATCACAAGACCTGGGTTCTACTCCTAAATCTAGCGTTAACTGCTTTTTCTGTTCCCTCTTGTGTAAAATATATTAATAAATAAAATGAAGAAAATTAGACTGGATTATCTTTAGGATCTCTTCTAGCTCTATGGTAAATTATAGTCTAGTTTATGCTAAGTTGGAGCCCTGGCAGTAGAGTGGTTAAGTGCTTGGCTGCTAACCAAAAGTTTGGTGGTTTAAAATCACTAGCCGCTCCATGGGAGAAAGATGTGGCAGTCTGCTTCCATAAAGATTATAGCCTTGGAGACCCTATGAGGCCATTCCACTCTGTTCTGTAGGGTCGCTAGGAGTCGGAATTGACTTGATGGCAACGGGTTTAGTTTCTTTTTTGTTTTTACGCTAAACTAAAAATTTTAATTTTGGAAGAAGTGAGACATTCATGTTTAATACATATGTGTGAATGTATATGTATTAGCATATAGTACACATACACATATATAAAAGTATGCTCTGAATAATTGCTTTCAACACCATCCCCCACTCTCCTGTTCCCAGACTTGCAAAACCTATAGGTAACCACCGTTATTAATTTCTTATGTATGTATATATTTATACTATATTATGTATTTATTAATTTAGTTATATATAATACATATATATATCTGTAAGGAAAAACATATTATTTGATAATTTTAAGAAATGGTGAATTCCTTCATCAGTGTCTTTATCAAACTGTAAGTATCTATGGTGTATGTGTCATATTTTATTGTAATTCCTTTTCTCTTTTCCCTGACATCCCTTCCTACTCTGATGTTTTTTCATTTCACCTTTTCTTAGAAAAGAGCTATCTGACTTGTGGCTTGTTATTGATTTTTATTTCAATAGAATTCTGGAAAAGAATGCTATACTTTCTTTCTTTTTCTCCTTAAAAAAAAAAAAACCCAAGACTTTTGGTTAAAATATAAAAATATAGATGGAAAGAGAGAAACTGGAAAGGGAACCCCCGTACACCCGCCAGCCAGATTCAACAGTTAATGGCATTTTGCCACATGATTTCCTTTTTATATTTGGAACTTATTTTGAGAATTTTGTTCCTTTGAGCAACCCCACTTTCTTCCTTTCAGACCACATCACCTTCACTTCTGCCTATTTTGTAAATTTCCTGTCTTTAAAATATAAATTCATGAAACTTGGGTTTCTAAAGTGTTCTTTTATGGAGTTCTGCTTTGTGCTTTAAATATCAAAAATCTCCTTTGAAACCTAGCTAGATATTTTAATAATAATTTATACAACCTGATATTTTTGGATAGTAAGTAGTAGTCAAATACTTACTCACTTTTAAATTTTTTATTTTATTCAGTATTTCACAGAATCACAAATTATCAGTTTGAAGGGATGAGGTTAACTAGCCAATGGTTTCTTATGATAGATAAAATACAAAAGATTTGATTTAAACTAGTTATAAAAATCTTAAACTGAAATAATCAGAGAAACATTGATTTATATTCTGAAAAAATGTTGTGATGATTTATGTTCTTTGAAGAAATTTGAAAATATAGAAAATTATGAAGATGAAAAGTTGAAAGTATCAGCTTATCTTCTCAGAAAGAATCATGGTTTCTATTTTGGCATATTTCCTCCTGTCTTTTCCTTACTTAAGTTAATATATATTTATTATTTCATACTACATACACATTTCTATGTTATGAACTATACTCTGGTGACCTACTGCATACTGGGCTTATCTTCTAGAATCAGCAGATAGTTGCAGATCGGGTCTAGTCAGAGTTACCCTTGAAAAATCCCTTAAATCATGAGAATCTTTGTGATCTTAAAATCCGATAATTATCTAATTTTGATTGTTTTGCATTTTGTTTGTGAGGGAGGAGGTAGTGGTTAGGCAATAGGGAAAAGGAAAACACTTCCCCTTTTTTTCACTGAATTGGATTAATTCAGTACTGGTAGTAATGTGACTCTAGATTATGAGCATTTAATTTACCCAAATGCTTTGCTTCCCTTTGATTCATACATTGGCGTGTATTACAGGGATAATAATAAAAATATTTAACAACCTTAAAAAATCCCACCAGAAGCTTCCTGTGTGGCAGAGTTTCTGAAGAGAGAGTCAGGGAAATGATGCTTGGGCAGGTGGCGAGTGTTGGGAGGTTGGGGCAGCTGGCTCAGAGAAGTATCTGTTTAAGCAGGTGTGTGAGGAATTCACTATTGTAACAGTCAGGATGGCTGAACTAATGCATGGAATATCAGCTTGACAGCAGGCAATGACACATCAGATTGTCACATATGGGAGCATAGAAAAAAGTGGTGAAGAGCATGGTTTTAACCCTGGCTCCAGTACTCACAAACTGTGTAACTGTTAGTCAGTTATTTAACCTCTCTGTGCCTCAGTTTCCTCATCTGTAAAATGGGAATGCTGATAGTACCTATCTTGTAGGATTGAATGAATTAGGATTTATAAAATATGTTGAACAGAGCCTGTCACATAGTACAGTATGTTGTGTAAATATTTGTTAAATAAACAAATTTTCTTTCCCTGCAGACAGACTCCAGCAGAGAGTTTCTGCTCCTTCAAGTTAGGCTTATCTGTCCTTGGTTCAACTCACAAACCACAGTTTCATCAACCTGTACATGTTGTGGCTATAAACATTGTCAGTCCTTATTGTGGTCAATTGAGAAAATTTGGGATTTGCTCTAATTCTCTATAAGTAATTAAGGGGCTAATGGGTGACTAAGAAGTCAAATGAACAAAATTAAGATTAACACTCAGGACAGATCTAAAGTAGAAATATAATTTGAAATTCATTTTCTTGCATTAAAATTTTGTATCTTTTTTCTAAGAAGTCAGAATTTTTTATTTTTTTAAAACAAAGCAACTTTAAAGTAGCAGAAACAGAAAGAACACACATCTTAAAACTCAGGCTATATTGGTTAACTGTTTTTCATAAACCCAGTATGGAAAATGATACAATAACAGCTTGTCACTTTTCTAAGATTATAGGGTTTTATCCCCTTAGAGAGGCATGAAACTATACCATTTTTTAATTGTCCCTGTTGGCAAATTTATTTATTGTAGGATCTTTGCTATTGCATAATTTTTAATGACCCCAGTTTGTTTCTGAATTTTGAAAATGTATGATAGTTTAGCTATTCAGACTATTCAGTATTTGTATTAGTTTTCTATTGCTACTATAAACTTAGTGACTTAAAGCAACACAGATTTATTGTTTACAGTTCTGGAAATCAGAAGTCTAAATGGGCTTGCGGGGCCATGTCCCTTCCAGAGGCTGTAGGAGGAATCTGCTTCCTTGCCTTTTCCAGCTTCTAGAGGCCACCTGCATTCTTTGGCTCATGGCATCTTTCTCCATCTTCAAGGCCAGCAGCATAGCATCTTCTCTCTTGGACTCTGCTTCCATCATAACATCACTGACTTTCTATACTCTGACATTGACCGTCCTTCCTCCCTCTTATGAGGACTTTAGGATTATATCATTGGGCCCACTTAGATAATCCAGGATCCTCCCCGCATCATGAAATCCTTAATCATATTTGCAAAGCTCGTTTTTTCTATATAACATTTGTAGGTTCTAGGGATTAGGACATGGAAATTTTGGAGAGAGGGGGTCATAATTTAGACTACCACAGTGTTCGTGTTTTTTTTCTTAGGGCCTCTCATTTGGTTTACTTACTAAGTTTCAAAGAGAAAAAAAAATCTTTCTCCTTGGAACAAATAATGCAACGTGCTTCAGAGATTCCAGAGTTATGTCGTTATCTTACTGATAAATGATGTCTGCTACTTTCTCTTTCTTCTTCTTTTTTTTTCCCCTTTCCATTTCAGATCTTGGGCGTTTGGCTGACCTACAGATACAGGAACCAGAAAGATCCTCGTGCTAATCCTAGTGCATTCCTTTGATGGAAAAACAAGGAAAATCATTCATTTTCTGATCTTGTTCACCTTCTGTAACTTTTAAGTTAAGCTGATTTGCCCGCTTAATTGAGGAAACAGTATCTGAAAAATTACATTATTGACAGTGGAATTACATATTTTTGCCCTTAGGTTTCTCTAAATGTTTTTCGATTTCCGTTGCTGAAAAAAATTTGAAACTTGTGGTCTCCTCTGACCCTCAGTGGTACCTGTAACCTACTGTATTCACAGTGTCTGGCACTGTCCACTGTGGCCTTTCTTAGCATTTGTACCTACAGAAAAACTTTGTATGACACTATTGTGTTGGTCATATTGTGAATCTAAATACACATTTCACTGGAATAATTTTATGTAGCACTGTGCTGTATAGATAGTTCCTACTGGAAAAAGAGTTGACGTTTATTAAAGCTAGAAAGTATGAGATTCTATTATGTTAAATTCAATAAGGGAAATCCAAATTCCCAATGTTTCTCGTCTTTTTAGGAAAGATATGTTGTGGTGAAAATTGTTAATATAAAAGTGATACTTTAGTTCTGCTAGTCTTTTATGATTATGCTAATGTATTCTAGAAATAGCTATGTCTTTAGAAAAGTGTTGGTTTAGTTTTTGGGCTTTTACAGTTAAGTGCAATGGAGAAGTAGTCTCATGAAACTTTCTAATTTGTAACGTTTACCTTCAGCCTTCAAAATGAAACAAGTCTGCATAATTCAGAAAGTATATATAACCTTGATTGTTCTGTTATAGTAATTTGAAGTCCGAAAGAATGCATTTTTAAGCGTTACTATTAATGTGTTGGCCCATGTAGCAAAAAGATACTTGATTATCTTACAAATGGTTAAATGCCTTTTTCATCAAATTTCTCAGTATTGTAACAGCAGCTTGTCAAATCCAAGCATATTTGAATGTGACCTCCCATAATTTGAAATAGTATTGTATATTATGTTAAAAAATTAAAGAGTGGAAACCTTTCTTTATGTATGAATGTCTGACTTAAGAAGGTAATGAGAGTTGATAAATGAATTAAGTGAAATGGTTTTTTTTTTTCTTTCTGTTTTGGGTTCAAGTTGACTGACTTAGAGCTGGATATTTTTATTTCAGTGAATAACCATGGAAATGAACTTCCACCACCAAGGTCTATTGGTAGTCATCCTCACATCCTTTCTTGAAATCATCCAACTTTTAATTTCATTACCATGCTGAGAAAGTTTCTTTAAAAGAGAAGTCACTTATGTATGAAAAATATATAATTTCTTTCCTGCTACCAAAAATTACTAATTTATTGTCTTGCGCTCTATGCAGTACATGGTATTTATTGGTAATAGTCTTGATAGGTTTTAAACAAAGAGGGTAAATGATTGATCTATAGAATTTTGAAACATTTTGTGGATATATCATTTCTGTGACTCTGCAAGATCAGCTAAGTGTTATGCTTAATCTTCCAAGAAAACTGAATTGTGAACAATTCCTGTGATATCATATTGAGGTCTGGGGTACCCCTAAAAATGTTCCCACTTGTATTGTAAGATGAGGTTAGAGGAATCACATGAAGGAAGTAAGATTTTTGAATTCTGTCTTTAAGACGTCCTATATTTTCCCTGTTTGCTTTGTTACATATATTTTTTAATTGTGGTGAGTATATATAACAAAACATTTGCCGTTTCAACATATTTTACATGTACAGTTAAGTGACAATAATTGCATTCATCATGCTGCGCTTTGTTATATTTTGGTATTCTCATGAGAGTCTGAAATGTCTTAATGTAACACTTTTCTTGGTGCAAGTGAGTATGAGTACAGTGGGTTTTATTCCAGAGAGAAACAGCCCATAGCCTTGGCTTGTGCTCTAGTTGCAATGGCCTGATTTAGGTCAACCAAGTTAAAAATCAAAGTCTGGGAAGGATGAATCTTTAGGGCTACTAAACTATAGGATTATGAGAGTGGGTAATAACTGATGATTAGCCACTGAAGAAATATATTTACAAGTCCTAGGGACAGCCCTGTCAAATTCATCTGAGTTTTCAGTTCTCTGAGGGAGATCTGAAGGGGATAGATTACCCAGCCCCTTCTAGGAGGTCTCCTGTGATGTTTGTGTCTGGGTGCAGAGAGACAAAGAGCTTCTATTCCACAGTGTATCATAACATCCGCTGGAAAGGCTCTGAATAGGTTCATCCTGAATCTTGAATGGACCTCCTGGTAAGCCTACAGAGGTCATGCTGATTCCAGGGTTACATGGGGTCCCCCCTGCCTGCAGACACACAGCGTCAGGGAGGGAGAGCTTTAGATCAGGGTCTGTCCACAAATTCCAACAGATGGCTCTAAGGCAATCCAAAACCCTAGTGCTTTCTTCTAAACCTAGCATTTCTTTTAAAAAGGAACTATGCTACTTTAAAACAAACAAACAAAAAAAAACCTTATTCTCTGTTTACATATTCCATTTAAAAGAACATTCTGGAGCATTTGCTCAATCAGTGGATGCTAAAGGTGACATTTTAGCTACAGAATATAATGTTAATACAAAGAAAAAAAAATGCTAGGCTCTAATTCCCAAAATCTGAGCTCAAGTGAATTAAATTTATCGCTGATACTCTGTTATATAAGCCACAGTGCATTTGGTATGAAAACCAGCTCTGCATGTTCAACCTAAGAAATATGCTGTTGAATAGAACCTTTCAAAGAAGTAAAATGTGGCTTTTAGTTCTTAGTTTTCTTAACAATATACCTTCTTCAATTCTAAATATTTGTTTAACCCTGTTTAAGTTTATTCATCCTTTTGAAAATACACCGAGTAAAAACATGAAACTATTTCACTCTTTAGCTGGTACTAAAAAAAAGAATTTCATTTTTATGTAGTATTTCACAGGAGAAAAGAGATACCAGGCATTGTAATTTTACAAATTTGAGCATTCACATGTGAATTGTTTTGTTTTATTAGAGATGACAATAAAGTTAAATGTCAACTTTTCCAGGTTTCTGGATAAGAGAGGGAATTTGTGTAACATGGTTCTGTACTTGGTATACTTGGGGACTAGCAGTTAATTTTTATATACCAGGTTCTCTGTGCCAAATGCAGTTACAATATATGTTGTTGGTAAATGTTTTCTAAACAACTTTAAAGAAAACAACCAGCACTGCCCTTTACCCCACACCTCAACTCCACCAACAATGTAAGAGAGAAGGAGAGACAGAGAGAAGGGAAGGAGGGAGGGTGGGAGAGAGAACAGACAAAAGAGAACTCTTCATGCCCAACTTCTTAAATGTCTGATGACAGCTGGGCAATTATAACCACTGAAATATCTCTTTGAGACAGTGAGAAACAGAAAACTCAGACTTCGCTACCGTTTGTTGTTCCAGGCCTCTTCTCATCTACTGTCTTGAGGAAAACCAGCTTTGGAATTCATTTTGAAACGAGGGCTTGAGAGGGTCACCCATGAGTTAAAATATACATCAAAGAATGGACTTCGCAGTGGTATCACTAAAGGGCACAGGGGGTGCAGACTGCACTGGGTGGCACTGTCAGCGGGGTGACACTAAAATGACTGTCTATAAAGTTTTTGGGTAGTTTCAGCAGAAATTTATTATTTTTAATAAAAATATGCCTGTGCTTAGTTAAAACAACAAAAATGTTTTTCATAAGCCCAGCTTGCATGTATCATACGTACAAGGCTAAAACTGTATGCAAATTTACTTTTTAAACCTTCTAGTACTCCTGTCACAGCTGTCATCTTTCCCTAGTTGCAGTGACGCTTGGAATCACGTGGTTTTGTGTGCACGCGCTACAGGCATGCACTGTTGTTTTTGTTGCTACCGGTGTTTTTATAGTCACTGATTTTGTCAAATTTTCTGGTGTTTTAGCTACAATATTATGGTAAGTAGTATTTGTGAACCTGTATCAATAACTTTTTTGAGGATGAAGTAGTAATTAAAGGAAAAAGAGAAAATCAAAAAAGGCTTATGCTCAGTTACTAATAATGTAACTCAGTGCAGAAAGATTTTACAGAATAATATTGTTAGTATTTATATGATCTAAGAAATACTACATTTAAACAATTCATTAACTGTATCGCATATTCTGTGATTAAAATTAATAATAAACATTATTAATGATTCTGTATGGTCTAGTATGGGAAAAGGTCCATGGGGGGTGATACCATGAGGTACTGCACTTGGTGACACCAACCTTAGTGATGCCACTTGGGACTTTGACTTCATTTGGAGGCTGAAACCACTTTGTTTACTTTCAGGATCTTGCTTTTTATACGTAGTTAAGGTTACAACTTGTTAAGTGACCTTTTAATAAGTTAGGTTGAATTTATTTGGAATTTGAAGGCTAGCTCCTTGGTTAGGTACTGAAGAAAGTTCCACCCTTGCCTTAGAGCTTTCTCTGTTCTTCCTCTGAACCTCATTCTCATCAGTGATTGCTAAATATAAGGGGGCCTTAGAAGCTATTTAGAATTACTGAATGCATGAAAAAAAAATGGAGACAGACAGTCATCGATGATCATTTGAAGAAGATTGCAGGTCTAAAGCAGGTAAAAAATGGTTTAATCAGGCATGTTCATCATCTCTGTTAATGATGTTTTTAGATGATTTACGTTACCAATGTTTCTACTCAGCTGTTCGAAATAATTCACTCTAGTCTTATAGTTGGAGTTCCTGGGTGGCACAGACGGTTACATGCTTGACTACTAGCTGAAAGGTTGGTGGTTCGAACCCACCCAGAGGCGCCTCAGAAGACAGGCCTGGCGATCTGTTTCCAAAAGGTCACAGCCTTGAAAACCCTGTGTAGCATTTCTGCTCTGCACACGTGGGTCATCGTGAGTTGAAATTGACTCCTTGGCAACTAATAACAAGTCTTATAATACTCCTCCACTTTTCTGTAGTAAGTCAAGGAATGTTTTCACTTGAAATTTATTTAAACACAACTAATGAAAGATGGTGAGATGACGGGATTTTGTGGAACAGGCATTGCTAATATTTTTAAAACAACCGTTCGTATGTTTGCATATTTAGTTCTGTTTCTAACCTGCATATTTCCACATTCCTTACAGTTGCAACCATAGCATGAGTTTGTTTTCACTTAGACTTTTTCTGTTTCTCCATAATCACTACTACTGTGTTGACAACATATTGTGCTTTTTGTTATGTAACCATTATATTTGGAAACCGCCAATTTTTTGTACATTTAAATGTTGCCATACAGAACTCTTTCTGTTGAATGATTTCCTTAGAATAAATTCTCAGAAGTAGAGGAGACTGGGTCAAAGTCAATCGATGTCTTCTATGACTCTTGCTCTGTGTTGCTTTAACGCTCTTCTGTGGGGAAAGTCATTTTCCTGCCAATTTGACATTTGATTTCCCCAAAGATTTATTTATATGTGTTGTTCAAATAACATTTTGTCATTTAATACATTTTAAGGACTTAGCAGTTTTTTTCACGTCAGTCGTGTGAAAAAATAAACATTATTTTGCTGTAAGGCAGTCCCTGGGTTATGAATGAGATTCGTTTCTAAGTGTGTCTTTAAGTTGAATTTGTAGGTAAGTAGGAACAGGTGCATATGATTCTTATTTAGCCTTACTTTAGTGCAAGAAAAGGCTCAAAGTCTTTTCCATGATTTAAAAGCTGCACGTAGCAGCAAGTGAGGGTGATTGTGATGAAGAATTTGTTGTGAGTAGGGGGTTGGTTCACTCATTTCAAAGTGAGGGCAAATTTACATAACATTAAAGTCAGTCGCTTGTAACCCAGGCATTGCCTGTACTTGAATCACTTTGTTGTCATTTAAAATATTTGCTTATAGAAACGAAGCCTCATTTTTCCTTCCATAAACCCTCAGAAAGCTTTCTAAGTGCAGTGTTTTACCTTTTTCAGCAGTTACAGGTTATCTGCTTATGAGAAAGGAGCTGATTCCCACTGGTGATACTTTTGCTGAGGATTTGTATGTCATTCAGTCAACGACATATGCTCAGCATCTACTGATGCATAGCTCTTTGACAGTCACTGTGAGAAACATAGAAGTATTTAAGATACATTATCTTCCCTGGAACCATAATGCCAAAGGATCTGTTCAGAAAAGATCCATTCAAAGAAGTTAAACAAGACAAAAGATGAGCAATATGCAAAGCATTATGTATAGACACCACTACTCTTCACGGGCCAAAGAAGTCAGTGGGGACTGGGCAATAAAGGAATTTCATATAACAATGAGTATGAGATTAAATAAGTAGTGAAGAAGTAAATACACAGGTCTTTTTTGTTAGGCAGAATGTATACTTAAAAGTAGCTAAAGCCTGCTTTATGCCATACTCTCACAACTTTTCCAAACATAAGTAGTAACCTTTGATTTCTATCCTATCAACATGGTGTCACTGCCTTTCTCTTAGCCAGTCACATTTTGGCAAAGAAGATGGAAACATTGAGACCCTTGCTGTTTCCAATTCAAGCTAAATTTATTCCATGTTCCTATGTAGAACCTCGAGAGACCACAACTATTATACGGCTAATTCTCAGGATTTCTTAAGGGTGTATTTTGGGTGCAGGTGTACTTTGATGACCTTTCCATTGTTGCTCAGTCTACTGAAGTAGGAGGCTACCAGCCAGAGGCTTTCCCTGAAAGCATTAAGTGCTTTGTTGGGTAAAATCTGACTAAAATTGAATTACTAATTAATTAAAGTGTGTATATTCGAGTTCCTGGCCAGGGTGGAGAAGGATTGTCTCCAAGTAGGTACTTGGTTTTCTCGTCATGCCTTTCTACCATACTTTTTCATACTAAAGCATATGCAATTTGATACTTCTGTTGATTAAGCTCGTGTCTTTTTTTTTTTTTGCTTGTCTACTTTTAGTGACCCAGTGAAAACCTGCAGTGTAGTAAGATGTCAACTTTGTCTTTGATCTTCACTGAATAAATTTTGTCTTATCCCTTCCTTGAGCATCTTTTATGTGCCCAATAGTCTTATTTGGTGAAAAAAAGAAAAACCTCATGGTAAACACCCGCAAAAGGATTTATTTTTTTTTAAATTATGATTCATTATTGTAGTATATAATGTTGTTTTCATACATGTATACTTGAAACCAAACTTTAAAAAAAAAAACAACAAAATAGCTGTCATAACATTAAACTATAATCTGGATGTAACCAGTGCTCCTGCATTCTCCAAAGTCTTCAGAATCTCTGGTTTCCAAATCTTAAGGCCTAATATGGTGGGAAGAGCTTGCAGATTTTTATTTTCTTTACAATTCAGTCTTCAGTAACTTGAGAGCTTTCCTCATGTTGTCAAGCACTAATATGGGAAAAAGTTAAGAGTCAAGATGCCACCAGTGGTTATACCGATAGAGTCAGTCAGTCCACCAAACTTGGGTACTCTATTCACTGCTTAGTGAGGTGCTGTTTTCTTCTTAGGATGAACAGTTAATAACTTTATTATCAAAATTTTCCCTAAAATTATGCAAAATAGCTTTTGTTGCATTCAAGTCTCTTTACCATATTCATTCCTTTCCAAATTTTCTCCACCCTCCAACTCCAGAATAGTCCCTTTATAAATTCCACTGGCAGAAAATAATTTTGGCTACTTCAGAAGTAAATTTTAAATCATATTTGTAAGAAATAGGTGTTTGTAGCTACTACAACTTATTTCGGAAGTAGGTGGAACATAAGTTATAAACAATAGCAAACCAAGTGCTTTACACATACAAATTCACGTAATCATCCCAAAACTATTAGTACTTCATGTTGTAGATGATGAAACAAGCGCAGAGAAGTTGAGTAGCTTGCTCTAGATAACACAGCTAACAAATGGTGGAGCTATTGCTCCAGAGGCCAGACTTTACTAGCTCACTATTCTGTCTGTAGCAAGTCATGAAAATGATTATTAAAATAAGATGTCCATGTGATGGAAAGGCACTGAGCACCTGCTTATTCATTCCTTCTATAATATTTATTAGTTTATTCTACAAGACACTATGATAGTACCTGTGCAAGATAACTGACTTTAAGGAGTCCAAAATCTTATTAAGACATTTGCTACCATCTAAAAGAATGGCAAATACTTAAAATGTGCTACCCTAATCCTCCCAGTACCTCTTGTAGACATTGCTAATGGACAATGATAATCTTTCTGCTACCCAGACGCAACCTCACAATCCTTCCCAACACAATGTTCTAGGTCTGTGCTGCCGAACAAAAATTTCTGGGATGATGGAATAATCAGTGTCTGTGCTTGCAAGCACTGGAAATGTGGCTAGTGTGACTGAGGAACTACATTTTTTAACTTTAATTTTAATTAATTTAAATCTAGATAGCCACATGATTAATGGCTACCATATTAGAAAGCACAGTTCTAGGCAGCCACTACCACTAACTAACTGATCTGAATTGCTCCCTAGGATGAAACCTAATTTTCTTTCCCAGGAGGAGTAATCAGATGTTACATTTGGGTACCTTGTCTGCCTTAAGTCTCCAGCTTTTTTCTCCAATAGTTAAGCGCTTGGCTGATAACTGAAAGGTCAGCAGTTCAAACTCACCAGCCACACCATGGAAGAAAGGTGTGGCAGTCTGCTTCCGTAAAGATTTACAGCCTTGGAAACCTATGCGGGGGGGCAGTTCTACTCTGTCTCTATTGAGTTGGAATTGACTTGATGGCAGTGGGTTTGGGATGCCTGTGTCAGGGAAAGTGAGTGAGCAACGATTTAGATCCTTCTTTCCTATTGATTTTGAAAATTAAACTTGAATTCAACTTCAACAAGCTGGACTAAATTATTTCACTTTTGTTATTTGGGGAAAAAAATAGCATATAGATTACTGCAACTATTGCACTCAATTTTGTGGTAGAAGGAATTCTATGTTGGAGCCCTGGTGGTACAGTGGTTAAGAGCTCAGCTGCTAACCAAAAGGTCAGCAGTTTGAATCCACCAGCGGCTCCTTGGAAACCTTATGGGGCAGTTCTACTCTGTCCTATAGGGTCGCTAGGAGTCGGAATCGACTCGATGGCAACAGGTTTGGTTTTTTTTGTTTTTGGTGCCTAAGAGAAAGCTTGAAAAGCAGTTAATGTTTATATACGGTCATAGAATTCTCTTAAAGAAGAAGATACCTAATCTAAATAATTCATCTCCAGTTGAGGTAAGAAAGATGGAGAATGAGTGTGATTTGCCCAAGGACACAGGCTACTTAGAGTCAAACTGATTCTCTGGTGTCTCAGAGCAGAGCTTTTTCTCACCTCCCCATGTGGCCTCTAATCCCATTACTACAGCAGTAGAAATGTTGAAAGGAGGTAAACTTACAGAGTGCTACATCTGAAGGCTCATAAGCATAGAGACGATTTGAGTATCTTCCAGTGATGTCGGCTCTAACTGTCAGGGACGGGTCTGCAAAGAAAATGCAAAAGGAAATGGAGCGCTTTGTTTCCGAGTAGCCCCCTAAGACTACATACATACCCTTGTCCTGTGAGAGGAACACTGGGTTCCCCATCCCCTTAAGTTCTACTCCATCCTCTCTGCTCCCCTGCCTCTGAAGCCAGTAGCTAAAGCAGGCCAAGAACATTCAACAGCTGCACAGTGCTATTTGTGGAAAATGTTACGAACCCTGCTGTCATCTATAGCAATCTGACAACAGAATAATATGTATTTGGGGTGGGGAGGGTTGGTTGGTTTTTTCGTGAAAATCTTAGCAATCTCTAAACTCTTAAAGTGATTACGTTGTAGTTGAAATGGGTTACCAAGAACAACCTAGATGATTAGGAACACACATCCAATGCCACTTTTCAAAACAAAAGGTTTTTTAATGACTAAAAGAATGCAAGCCCTTAAGAACAGCAAAGATCAAATAAGAATGTAGTGTCCCTCTCTATTTTTTACTTGATTGTTAACTGGCTACATTTTAAAAATAGAGACTTAAGAGTCTTCCCTTACATTTACATATATTTATCTAGTTTTAAATCTGTTTTTTCATATTTTATGTTTAAATTATCAAATTAATAAGAAAAAAAGATATTTTAAAAATAAGGTGCATTTAAAGGGGAGATATCAGATTGTGGAGAGTCTAAAAATTGCTTTTGCAAGAGATGATTGAAGGAGCCTAAGACATATGTCCTGGAAACAAGATGAAGAAGGCTGTGAGAACCATCTGCAAGTATGCAAAGTCTATTGCTGGTACTTTGGGGTGTTTTTTCAGAAGGCTGGATGAGGACCAAGAGATTATACATTACAATAAGCAGATGTTCATTTGTTCAACGAATACTTAAAGACCTACCATGTTTCTGTTGGTGCAGAGGATACAAAGACATGGTCTAATCCTTTGTAATGAATCAACACAAGAAGGACTTTTTAACACCCGACCAGTGGTTCACAGCCCTAGCTATACATTGGAATCACCTGGAGAGGATTTAAAAAATACTGAATCTTGGCTCCTCTCCCCCTCTTCCTCCAAGATTCTGATGTAATTGATTTCGAGGTGTGGCCTGGGTGGTGATTCTAATGCACTAATTCTAGTGTAACCAGAATGGAGAACTAAGTTACAGCAAGCTGCCTCAGAGTTGGTTCTTATGACTGAAGGTATGGAATGTGGATTAAAATGGTCTCTGACAGGGATACTGTAAAAAGAATTCCTGCACTGGATGCAACCAGATGATCTCTAAAAGGAGTCCCTAGGTGGTGCAAATGGTTAACGTGCTCAGCTGCTAACAAAAGGCTGGAGGTTCAAGTCCACCCAGAGGCACCTTGGAAGAAAGGCTTGGAGATCTAAATCAGCTACTGAAACCCCTATGAAGTGCAGTTCTACTCTGACACACATGCAGCTGCCATGAGTTGGAATCAACTCAATGTCACCTGGTTACTGGTTAAATGTTCTAAATCCTGACAGATATAAATTAGTCTCTAAAATTAGTGCTTTAGTTCAGACTTCTTCCTTTTTTCCCTTTTCACTTGTTCTTCTTATGTTATACATTTAATTTAAACTTCGATGAATTATATAGGTGAACTGCTTGACTAGAGTTCTGCTATGTGATAGATTAAATTATTGATTGTCCTTATATCAGTATGATTTTATCGAAGCCAACTTTGATCCATTCATTCAGTCATTCAACAAATATATACAGAGAGGCTACCTACCACAGGGCCATGATGGGAATATGATGGTGAGCAGAAAAGATATGGTCCCTGGCCTTATATTCCCATGGAATATAAATAAATTTCAAGTATTTATTAATTACTCAATAAATGCAGAATTATAAGTGAGGAAAGTGCTAACAATGAGAGAACATGGGGCTACAAGAGCATATAGTGGGGATTTGACGGGGTCAGTGAATGACAGTGATGACTGAGGAGTTAACTACGTGACTTGGAGGTGGGGAGAAAAACAGGAACAGCTTTCCTGTAGACGGAGCAGCATATGGAAAGTACCAGAGGCTGGCAGGAGCATGGCTCCTTTGATTTTTCTTTTTCCTCCCAGCTCATATTCCTTACTTTCCTAAAAACACTTACCAAAATGTTAGGAAGAAATTCCAGCATATAAGTTGAAACTTTGCTTGATTAAAAATAAATACTTAATAGGCCTGATGTGATTAGGAAAATAATCAATACATTTAAAGAGTTAACAGGGTTCTTCCTTCTTAAATGTATTTGTGGCAGAAATTGAAAAATCAGAATTAGCAGATGAGAAAAAAATGTCATCCATGGAAATAGAAGAGTGAAAATATGTTGTGAAATTTAGAGAAATGTTATACTCCTTGCTTCAGCTTAGTAGTTACATTGACCAAGGTGTGGCGGGGGGCGGGGGCAGGACAGAGGAAGGGATAAGGCAGCTCTTGTGTATCTTTAGGATGTCTTTCATCTCATTGTCACTTCCACTTACCAACAAACAGAATCCTGGGGACATACTGGCCATCAGGGGAAAGGTGCTTGTCAGTTGTTTCATACTAGATTTTAAAAAAATTAAAAAAGCAGCTTTTAGTTTGTTTGCTCTTTAGTTATTTTCAAACTTGTTAATCCCCCCCAAAAAAAAAAAGTATCTAATGCTGGGCCAGGCACCATAAGATACCTTAAGACACATCTCTTTCACAAAGAATTTATAATATAGATGAAGAGACAAGTTACATGTATGAAATAAAATAGAGTCGAATGTGAAGCAGAATATGAGGTAAAGAGCTGGATGTATGTGATAAAGAACAAAAAGTTCAAGAAGGGAGAATATGGAAGAAGCTATAGTGCTTGGACGGGGAGCCCTGGTGGCACAGTGGTTAAGACCTACGGCTGCTAACCAAAAGGTTGACAGTTTGAATCCACTAGCTGCTCCTTGGAAACCCTATGGGGTAGTTCTACTCTGATCTGTAAGTTGCTATGAATCAGTATCTACTCGTTGGCAATGGGTTTTATAGCGTTTGGAAGGAGCCCTGGTGGCGCAGTGGTCAAGTGCTAGACTGCTAATCAAAAGGTTGGCAGTTCAAACCCACCAGCCGCTCTGTGGGAGAAAGATGTGGCAGTCTGTTCCCGTAAAGATTACAGCCTTGGAAACCCTGGAAGACAGTACTGCTCTGTTCTATAGGATTGCTATGAGTAGGAATTGATGGCAGTGGGTTTTGGTTTATAGTGTTTGGAGCAGACTCTTGGATGAGGTAGGAATGAGATACCCAAACCCGAACCCACTACCACTGATTCAATTCCAACTCATAACGAGCCTATAGGACAGAGTAGAACTGCCCCATAGGGTTTCCAAGGCTGTAAATCTTTATGGAAGCAGACTGCCACATCTTTCTTCCACAGAGCAGTTGGTGGGTTAAAACCACCAACCTTTTGGTTAGCAGTCGAGTGCTTAACCACTGCGCCACCAGGGCTCCTTGGGATGAGATAGATTAATGAAAAAAGGAGACGTCAGTTTTGGAGAAATTACGATAACAGGATTATCTTGAGCGTTCATCTATCCATTTGTCAATTCTTCATTAGCATTTTAAAAACTTAGTCAGCAAGTTGCAGTGCTTATTTTTAATGAATGCGCAGTCTATTGGAAGATACAGGCAGGAAAACTAATGCTAAGGATCTGTGGGTGAAATGTTATAATAAAGGATATGCAGGTGCAGTGGGCACACAGAACAGGGCATTTGACCCGGTCTGTAGGTTCTAGTAGGAACTTCTGAAGAAGGTAAAGAGGAATCGATAAAAAAAATCAATAGGGATCAGTCACGTGGAAAGGGAGAAGGCTACTCCAGGCAGGAGAAGAGCATGCCATTTGGCATGGAGAGGGAAAGGCATGGCACTTTCTTATAGGACCAAGTGCTTAGGAAGAACTGAGGCACAAGGGATGTATGAAGGCAGTGGTGAGAGAAGATACTAGAGAGCTGCTTCAGGGGCCAGCTCATGAATGGCCTTGCACTCCATGCCACAGTGTTTTCATTTGTTCAGAAATAGAGCCCCCAAAGGGATATCAGAACAGGTAGAATGATTTCAACTTGGCCTTTTCAGTAATTACCCTGACAGCCATGTGAGGTTTATATGGGGAATATCTTATAGACAGGGAGCCATTTAGTAATATTGCAGTAAACGAGGCAAAAGTGAAGATGTCTCACAGTAAAATAAGGGTCCTGAGTTTATAAGGAAGTGACCAATAACAGGGATATTTAGAAGTTAGACGCACAGGGCTTCTTGACTGATTGGCCATTGGAGGTGAATAGGAGAGTCTAATTGGAGCCCTGGTGGCACAGTGGTTAAGAGCTTGACTGCTAACCAAAAGGTCAGCAGTTTGAATCCACCAGCCGCTCTTTGGAAACCCTATGGGGCGGTTCTACTCTGTCCTATAGGGTTGCTATGAGTCAGAATCGACTCAGTGGCCATGGGTTTGTTTGTTTTTTTGGTTAATCTAGAAGAGGGCCACTTTTGGTGAGACAGGGAATAGAGAAAGAAGAGCCATTTGACAAGCACAGAGTGAGATGATACATTTAGTGCTGAACGTGTTGAGTTTAAGCTAATTATGGGATATCTGGAACATGGTTGGACCCATAGATTAAATGTTGTTGAGTGTTTGGGGAAGATGTGGGAGTTATCAGTGTGTAGTTATTGATTAACGGTGGGTATACCTAAAGCTGTCCAGAGAGAATATAAATTATAAAAAGAGAAGTACATCAAGGACAGGTTCACCAAGTCACTAACATTAAAGGAAGGAAAGAGGAAGAGGAGCCTGTGGAAGGGAGGTGAGGAAGAACGGCCAACCTGTGAAGAGGAAGAGACAGAAACAGAGGAAGGGAGGGAGGGAGAGAGGGAAAAAGAAAACATAAGGTTAAGTAGAGTTGAATTTTATAGAGCCTGTTTTTATATTGAGTAAAAAAAAACACTTGCAAAGAAAAAAAGCTTACAAATCAGTTATGGTTATATGTGGACAGCCAGAGAGCTGCCTCTTCTTTGGAGAGAGGAGACAAGGAAAAAGAATGGGTTTGGAGCAGCCAGGACTGTAGGAGGGGCACCGGCTTTTGTGTATGTGCAGTAATTTGCAAAATATAAAACCTTTCAATTATTATAGCAATAGAGAAAAGCCTGATCACAGGGGAATATTTCTCAGGCAACCTAAAATGACTAATTACTAAATAAAAACATAGACATGCAAGGTAGATTATGAATAAAATAAAATATCTTTTCTCTTTCCAATCTATGAGATGGAGTATTTGGAACAGATCCCAATTAATGCAGTATGACTAAGACATACAGGAATGGATGAACTCAATCATCCATTTCAGATAACGAGGCATGGAGAAATGTCAGTGACGATGAAAAGTAAACTTACCACTAGATTGAGGAGGACAAACTGCTCTGCCAGTTTCTGGATTTCTCTATTTTCAGCAAATACTTTCTTTAAAGCTATAATGAAATGAGTGGTCATTGAGTACCATGTCGTCATTGGTGAAACTATTGTTCTCTGTTATATTTTAAGTTGAACTGTATTTTAATACAGTATTCTACTTTGCCCTTTCAGCAAATGATCAGTGAAATAATACCTATGTCATTGACTGCCTTTCCTTTTTTATATTCACTCATTCATTTATTCATCCACTTACTTTTTCTCAGTCCATATTTACTGAGTGGCTACTATGTGGTAGGCACTGTTCTATGCACTGGGGATAGAGTGTAAAACAAAAACCAACAATGTGCTTTCCTCATGGAACTGAAATGCTTGTGTGGGAGACAGACCATAAACAAGTAAGCAAATAAATATGTAACAATTTCAGGTTGGAGATATGTACTCTGAAGAAAAATAAAACAAAGTGAGGGGCTTAGAAGCTATGAGGAAGTCAGGGAAGACTTCCCTGAGGAGGTGACATTAAGTGAGGGAGTGATCCATTCTGAGGTTTAGGGGCTAGGTCACTCTCAGCAGAGGGAACTAACTGTAAGAGCAGGGGGCCTGAGGTGGGAGTGAAGTTGGATGTTGGAGGAACGGCACTAAAGCCAGGCCAGGTAGAGTGGAGAGAGCAAGGGGAGAGTGGTAGGAATGGAAGGATAGCCAGGGCCAGATTATTATTATGTATTATTATTATTGTAGGCTATGGCTGGGAATTTGGATTTAATTTTACCTGTGATGAGAAGCCACTTGAGCACATGAGTGATAGGACTGGATTTATGTTTAACAGCCTTACTTGGGGTTCCGTGTGGAGAATCTGACTAGAGAGACTACTTAGGTGGCCATTAAAGTATTCTAGGTGAGATGTGATGTTGGCTTGGACCAGGGCAGTAGCAATCGTGAGTGGTTGAGTGTGGGCCAGACCAGCTACATAATACTCAGGGCCTAGTTCAAAATGAAAATGCAAGCCCTTTGTGCAAAAATTATTAATAATTTTCAAGGTAGTGACAGCAAACCATTAAACCAAGTGTGCGGCTTTTCTAAATGTAGGGAACTTAGTTGGCCCCGGATTTAGGTTATATTTTAAAGATAAAGCCAACAGGATTTGCTGATGTATTGGATGTGGCATATGATAAAAACAAAGAAGTTAAAGATAAACCCATTTTTACTATATAAAATATTCTTTCTTACTCAACTGAGTAGGTGTTAAGGATACAAAGATGAATGATCTGAACTTTGCCTCTAAATCTAAAAGTCTATAAAAGAAAATCATATTTTGAAGAAGAAATTACCTTGACTGTGTGGGCATTCATCCAAGTGATGAATAATCATCAAGGGTTTGTTGCTTTAAGAAACAAAGAGATTGAATAATTTTTAATGAGTAGGATTTCATGTAGTTAAATATCACTAGATGGTGCTCTTGAGAGCTTTGCCCAGAGTTCTGTGAAACCCTTGTCTTTACCTTGTCTTGGATTTGTATAAAGCTTCTTCGTATGTCTGAGTCCAGATGAGTTGATCACCCCAACCTAGAGCAAAATGAAACAGCATATTTAAAGCTATTATAACCTCAGACCCAAAGCTGTTGAAAAACAATGGTAAAAACAGGGATAAATATACATTCTATACTAAAGAAGAAAAATCTCTGAAGAAAGTAGAAATAGATATAAACCATGATACATCTAGAAGGACAGATACCAAAATATATTCATCACACAAGTCTCCGCACCAAGAGCAAGGACATCTTTCCCAACTAAGCAGTGACTGGAAACCAACAAGAAGCAGATTCCTACCTCTGGAGAGGGTCTGGGGCAGTTTGGGTCCAGAGTCTTTTGTGTCCTTTTTAGCCCCAGGTTTGACTGTGGTTTCTTTGGCCAGAGTATAGGAGAGGGCCACAAGGAGCAAGAACGCTGACGCTGATATCTTCTCCATGGCAAATCTGATATGGAAAACAAAAAAATAAGAAGGCAATAAAGCAAAAATGAATTAGCCGTCTTCAGTGTCTTCAGATTGCATCACATCAATGGGATACAACAGGAACTGAGGCTCTGCTGAGATGGAGCACGTGTGATTGAAGTGAAAAGCTACCTTCCACAGGGTTTTTCGAAGAATATGAAGTATGTGTGTCTGCCGGCCTGCCTGCCTATTTAACTTCTGTCTGTCTCTTTCTGTCTATCTCTATATAGATATAGATCAATATGATATAGGTATAAAGATGTAGATTTATATAGAGGTAGATATCTCTATATAGATACAGATTTATTATATATATATATATTTAATATACATATATGGAGCCCTAGTGGCAGAGTGGTTAAGAGCTTGGC